ACCCTAATTTAACTCTGGTGCCGTGTCACATATAGAAATGTTTTGATATTTGCAACCATAGTAAAACAAAGACTTATATTTTTGATATTTATTTTATATATTTAAATGCCATTTAACAAAGAAAAATCAACCAAAAATATGAGATCATAGGTTCGCCATCACTGATCTAGATACTACAAACAACAAACTACTTCCAGAATATTTTAACAACCCTTTAGCCATCCCCATGACATGCAATTTCATTCAGCCTAAAAGAGGGTGACTGCCCTAGCTGGTTTGGCTCAGTGGATAGAGCATCAGCTGGCAGACTGAAGGGTCCCAGGTTCAATTCTGGTCAAGGGTACATGCCTGGGTTGTGGGCTTAATCCCCAGTAGGGGACGTGCAAGGGGCAGCTAATCAATGATTCTCTCTCATCATTGATGTTTCTATCTCTCTTTCCCTCTCCCTCCCTCTCTGAAATCAATATTTTTTTTTTTTTAAAAGAGGGTGACTTCATGATAACTATGATTAGGTAGCAACTGCTCATGACTGGAATGATGATGTGAAGTTTAATTCCTTGAGCTCTACAACAGTTATATCTACCAATCCAATAGCAGAGCGACAAGGGAGCATTTAACACTAATTATTTGTGCTTACTTATGTTGAGAACTCAGTACCTTTTTTAAAAATGCATTCAGAATTGCAGCCCCATGGCTCAGACAATATTTCCTTCCCTGTTGCTCCGCCGGCCTACCACTGCGGCCTCATAGTTCTCAGGGCAGCAAAAACACACACAAACAGACACCTCCAATTAAACCATCATCATCTTTCATTCTGCCGGCTCTGGAGTCCTAATCCCTCTATCTCTGTGTTCTCCCATTGTCCTCTAAAAACCTTTCTTAAAAGTATTTCTTTGATTTAATATGTGAAAGCTAACGAGGCCTCCAGCACACACAGTCTTAATGGTGTAATTAGGCAGGGTGAAGATTTTTACGACGGGGGTGAAGAAAGGTGGTCAAACTTACGGCTTCGTCTCCTCCATATTTTAGAACTCAGGAAAACAATGCACAGGCACTGAGGCTTCCCCCCACCTCCTCCCCAAGTTCAAGGTCAGTTTGACACTCTGAATGGTTAAATCATCCTTGGCAGGGTCTGAACTTGGCAGAAGCTCCGTAATGAGAAATCCAGATGACTGGTATCATTTGTCACGTGAGTGCCCCGCACTTAATCCAGCACTGGTTTGTTTTTGTAAGGAATAGCAATGACTTAAAAGCAGTCATTAGGGATGTTTAATATTTTAACTGCTTTGACACTAGATGCGGTCTTCACCTTTAATGGCACCTTTTAGCATTAAACTCTACACATAAATAAGCAGTGTAGGCCTCCTCGAGTCAGTTCCCTTCTGCGTGCCATACCAAAAGGATTCCATCAGCTGCTTGCCCTGCTTATGAAAAATGGCTGAGCTTTCTCTAAAGCCCCGGCTGGATTTCACCGACGAAGGCAGGAAATCAAGCATGGAGGCTCACTCTGCTCAGCCGCCTCTGGATTTTCTACCGTCTCTTAAGTGAAGCTGCAGAAATCGTGCCGCTTTCCGAAGGACTAAGATGAATATCAGAGTGACATTTCAGGACCCTCAAGCAATTTGTCTGCTGGGTCAATACACACTGCAAGTAATGCGGTCCAAGCGCTCACAACCCGTCTTTATGTCATAAATCAATGGATTAACCGGGGTCTACTTGACTTTAAGGCGCGGGCTTTTGACGCGCTATCCTCTACTCATTTACATAAACACTTACCCGGTGGGAGTGATGGTGGATGTGGGACAGGCACCCCCGAATTTTTTTCTGAGTGGATCAATTTTCATTATATGAAAATTGCCCAGTGAATTCAAAGAAAATAGTATCCTCAATCATTTCCAGTAGACCCAATCTTAATTTGAAATTATTTCATTCTCCTCATTCCTCTAAACATTCTAATTCAGAAATAGAAACACACTATCAACATGAGAAACAATTTTTAATATATTGAGAAACTTTCATCAGCAGAATATGACTTTGGTCTTTCACATTTTCTTTTGAATGCCAAACAGAATATCAAAAGACCAGGGAGTCTTAGTCTTAACTTAGCCACTGTGAGGAAAGGAAAAAAAAATTCCTTTATTCTTCTAAATTCTGTAGCTGGGACCTATGAATTAAACTAACAAGAGATTAATGGAAGAAAAAAGTATATGTGTTTTTTTTTATTGATGTCAAAGTTTTTATGTGCATGGGGACTTCACAAAAAAAGAAGTGAAAACCCCGTAAAAGCAGTTAAACTTGGAAGTTTATATACCATTTTAACAAAGGGCAATAAATTGTGGAGAAGTGACTAGTCAAAGGGAAGGAGGCTTTGGAGCTACAGGGGCAGTAAATTGTGGAAAGCTTTCTATCTAAGGAGACTAATTGAAAATGAGAATTACTTTAGTAAGGTTCATTAGCTAAATCTATCTCATCTCAGTGCCGACTTTCCATCTTCTTCCTGGCCACAGACTCCTCTGGAATGAGGATGATGGTGGTCCTCATTTCTGAGAAGTGTCTGCTTGTACCAGGTAAGAGAAGTTCTCAGGCCCTAGCTGGTTTGGCTCAGTGGATAGAGCATCGGCCTGTGGACTAAAGAGTCCCAGGTTCGATTCCAGCCAAGGATACATTCCTGGGTTGCAGGCTTGATCCCCCCCAGTAGGGGGCGGGCAGGAGGCAGCCAATCAGTGATTCTCATCATTGATGTTTCTATCTCTCTATCCCTCTCCCTTCCTCTCTGAAATCAATAAAAATATTTTTTTTAAAGAGCTCTTTTTAAAAAAGAGAAGTTAAGTTCTCAGAAGGCTCCTTTATACATTAGTTGTTTCTCCATTGTCTTCCGCTCAAAATAATCTATACGCCAAGGTGACATTTGGGGGTAGCATATTTCGATCCCCTTCATTATTAAATTTCCTCATAAATATTTGTTAGTCAATTCATTTATCTGGGATCTAGTTTATGCACCAGTGAAATGAAGGAGTTGGAACAGATTTTTACATTTCACTCATTCTTTGATATTCTAATTTTTTAAAATTTCTGTGCATTCATTGTGGGTTTCATTTATAAAGGCTGTATGCCTAAGTAGTAAGCTATATAACATATAGACACTCTTATCAGGCACAACCAGTGCAAAACTGAAACCGGACAGAGTGAACTGGTATTCTCCCGAAACTGACTTGTCTGTTCAAGAAATGTGTTGGGCACATGGTGTGGGCAGAGACAGTGAGAAGGATAAGAAAAATGCAACCAGATGGGGAGATGAGACTACTTCCCATGTTTTCACCAAAGAGATCCAGCAAGGGTTAAGAGGACACTGCCTCAAAGCAAATGTTGAGGGGTTCTCAGGATCCCATATATTGATTCCAGTCCTCCTTATATGCTGCTTTTCCCATGGTACACGGACAGTTCTGGGGATGCTAGTAAGTCAAACTGAGTCACACTTTTATTCGTCCCCAAGAACTGCATCCTGTGGTCAATTCCTACCAAACACCTCAGCTGGTTTGGTCTTGAACTACTTCATGATCCCAAATGGATCCAAGAGAGTCCATCAGAAAGAATGTGTCTATAGTGACTCCCCTGTTTCTTAAAAGCAGCGTTATGAAAGCGGAAATTGCCAGGTTCCGGTGCAGGAGAGAGAGAGATACGGATCCAAAAAGCAGCAGACGTGGGTCCTGGGCGGTTGCTTTGCTTTCTTAGTCAGGAGCAATGCATTTGGAAAATGGGGACCAGGCTGATTCCTCAACCAAAGTACCAACCGAATCGAGGATGCTCCTTGATGAAAGAACAAGGGAACATTTTCAAAACACTGGCACCCCATCAGAGAGCAAAAGTCAGCAGTCATGGCCTGTTCCACACGCATCCCCAGCTCTATTTGTGTCCACGATGACAAAAATGCATCTGTCTAGTGTCAAAATGACACCGGAGAACTTCATTATCCGAAGTCCCCCTCTGATCATTGAATCAGAAGGGCGTAGCCTCCCGTTACTACTCCCTGAACTCCAACCAAGACCTGGTCACAAGGCAGCAGGTCTCCTCCAGGAGCCCATGGGAAGCTTTCCCCATTGGGAGCCAGTTGGTTAGGGATGTGTTTTGTGTCAGCTGGAAATCCTTGGTACTTTTCCTCGGACTAATCAGAATCGGGGGCTTAGGAGAGCGCACCAAAGGTGATCTTGCCTCCTCTGACCGGGTAGAGGTGCCGAGTTCCAGCTGCTAAAGTCTTTATGGGAAGTACCTGGAGTTGTCGGGTTTGCTTTGATGGAGAACAGGGATCAGAAAGCAAGAACTGCCCACAGAGTGGAAAAATGAGAATTTGAGGTGTGGTACACTTAGAGGGGAAAAAGAAAAGTGGTCAGTGCTTTCCAAAATTCCAGTAGGAAATTTGGGTAAGGACGGGCGGGGGCTCCACCACATTGGAAAGTTCCCTTTGGGTTACCTAGTCCAACAGGTTTCACCAAAGTTGTGTCTACGCAGCAAATAAATTCAGAGGAGGAAAAAATTGAATCCATCAGGCAACAGTTGTTCCAAATACAGCTGTAATAGTGGATCATAGAAAGGCTAGAAATGACCAGATAGTCAAACTAAGTTCTTGTTTTTAAAAACCTACTATTTCTAAAAGGTGTTCTGTGCCCAGCCGGTATGGCTCAGTGGTTGAGCGTGGACCTATGAACCAGGAGGTCATGGTTCGATTCCTGGTCAGGGCACATGCCTGGGTTGCGGGCTTGATCCCCAGTAGGGAGTGTGCAAGAGGCAGCCAATCGGTGACTCTCTCTCATCATCTCTCATCATTAATGTTTCTAGCTCTCTCTCCCTCTCCCTTCCTCTCTCTTAAATCAATAAAAATATATTTTTTAAAAAATTAATAAATAAAAGGTGTCTTGTAAAGGGGAAGGGTCCTCATTTTGCTGAATGTCTCCTTAAATGTGTTCAAGTTGTCACTTAGTAACTTACCTTTTACACCTTTCCAGAGGTTGGAAGAGGCAGGAATTGCTGACCCCTGATAATCCAGGCCTGGAAACCCCATCTGGAGTAGTCCCTACAGCCCTACAACATGGAGATTTGCTCAGCCTTCCACGAAAAGGTAATCCAGGGGTTTTATATATAAAACGTATTCCATTGCACAGCTTATTGGACTCCATTGTGTATTCTCTGGAAGTGTTATCTCCTAGGCCAGTGACGGTGAACCTTTTGAGCTCGGCGTGTCAGCATTTTGAAAAACCCTAACTTAACTCTGGTGCTGTGTCACATATAGAAATGTTTTGATATTTGCAACCATAGTAAAACAAAGACTTATATTTTTGATATTTATTTTTATATATTTAAATGCCATTTAACAAAGAAAAATCAACCAAAAAAATGAGTTCACGTGTCACCTCTGACACGCGTGTCATAGGTTCGCCATCACTGTCCTATGCTATCTTCTCTTCACAAGTAGCCGTTCTCTCTCCCATCTTGTGCAGATCTCCGTCTTTGTGTCGACAGCCAAAGCTGTTTGGTTGGGCTTTGGTAGATCCAGAATTCTTAGTGGTCTCAGTGGCTGCATTAGAAAGCCACGTCATCAATGGTATCGATGGCCATACGATCGATGGACAGCCGTAGGAAGCAGAGTGGCTCGAACAGGATTGCTGAATTGCGTGCTTGGAGTGTGTTCAGGCTGATAAACATCTGCCCACCCTCTGCAAGTTGGCTTTCCTTTCTAGACCAGTTTTGTCATTTTTCAAACGGGAATAATAGTAATATCCGCCCTGTCTCTGGGAGGTACTTTGAAAACTGGAGAAGATAGCAGTTTTAAAGTTTTCAGTGTTAATGTGATTCTTATTTCTGAGGCAACCTTGCAGCAGAAAAATAAACCAGCTAAAATGTCACATGACATAATTTCATCCTTCAGAGGTTTTCTTGGCATAGAAACACGCTTAACATTGGTCTTGAGTGCCTCTAACGGGCAGACTCTCGGCCAAGCCCTGGACTCTCAAAGAAAAAACCCAAGTTGCCATGAGAACAATTCCATAGGACTATGTTAGGAACCACAACAGGCATAATGCAGAATGGGCAACAGAAACATCAGGAAGGAGGGTCTGGCCCAGCCGGCGTGGCTCAATGATTGAGCGTCGACCTATGAACCAGGAGGTCACGGTTTGATTCCTGGTTAGGGCACATGCCTGGGTTGTAGGCTGGATCCCCAGTGTGGGGTGTGCAAGAGGCAGCCGATCAATGGTCCTCTCTCATCATTGATGTGTCTCTCTCTCCCTCTCCCTTCCTCTCTGAAATCAATAAAAATGTATTTTTAAAAAAAGAAAGAAAGAAAGGAGGGTCTGACATGCTGATGTACGCCACCCTGAGCGGCACACATTAATGAGTGTGCTGGGAACCCCACAAAGCCTGGTTTCGTAGCCTGGTGTGCTGGCTCATGGATGAGAATATGCATTGGTTTCGGCCCGTATTCTGGTGGGAAGTGTTCAGGAGCTGTACTAACAGCAAATATCGACCACCGCAGAGTTCTTCTAACAGCTTTTTGAAAGCAGTTATCCCTTAAAGATCAAACTGGGCGACTCTATGTCGATTTCAAAGGTCTCCGACGTTAGATTTATTTGCTAAGCATCTACTAAGTTTCAGGCATGGAGCTGGGTGTTTTCACGGCATTGTCACATTTAAAAGCTAAATAAAGAGGGAGGCGGTTTAATTCCAGCCCATTGTGAGCTTCCGTTCTCCATCGTGCAGCCGTGGTTTCTCTAGCCTGGCTCACAGCCCACGCTCACACTACTTGGCTGCAGTGCTGTTGAAGAAGAAATCTGTGCTAACCAAAATATTCCTAATAATTTCACTGCCAGCCTGTGTATAGAGAGACGATCTCCTTGGTAATAGATTTTTTTTTTTTTTTTTTTTTTTTAGTAACTGGCTCTGATTACCCACACAACATTACTTTCCTTAAACACATGCTCTTCCAAGTCTCCTATTACTTTGTTCTGTTAGTAAGTTAGTAAATAGGAGGAGAGGATTTGTTTGTATCCGTTTCTGGGGGCTGCCATAACAAAGTACCACCAATCAAGTGGTTTAAACAACAGAAGTGCCTTGTCTCATAGTCCTGGGGGCTAGAAGTTCAAGATCAAAGTGTCTGCTGGGTGGTTCCTTTTGAGAGCCGTGAGAGAGTCTGATCCTTGCCTCTCGCCTAGTTTCTGGTGGTTTGCTGGCAACTTTTGGGGTGTGTGTGTGTGTGTGTGTGCGTGCGTGCACACGCAAACACACGTGCATCTACATATGAACATGACAAAACCAGGTTTAAATATGCATGTTCACTTTCTCAAGAAAATATATTACATTCAAATAAAACATTACCAAAATGGGTCACCCAGTATTCAATTGTTATTAACACTTTTTTGGGGGGGCATGGTTTTAAGGAGGTCTTTTGCAAATACAAGGTGTGCCAAAAATTAAATCTCACTAACTTGTAAAATGAACTCCACTGTCATTGAACTTGTATTCTCTTATTTTAGGCTACTTCAATGAGTTAGGGCCATAGGGTATTGCCATTGCTGTGTAATTGGTGAAAAATAAGTCCCCCCAAAAAAGAAATAATAGGTCTGCAGCACAGAACCTGTTAGGGGAGAAACCAGGAGTAGAAGCCAGGTTTCTTGCCACTTAAGTCAAACAGAATGCAGAGTACACTTCCTGTGAGATACAAGTCTTCACAACACGAATGCTCTGTCACTCTGTGGAACTGAACAACTCTAATATTATTGAATTGCCCATTGGATTCCACCCATTTGGTTTCAACATAATCAAATGCCTTGTTCAAGATGTTGGTGAAAGGCATTTCTCCCACACCAGAATGAATTTGTTTCCCAACCATACGGATCAGTGATGTGATTTAGTGGATTTTGCTTTCTTATGTAGTAAAAACCTTTCCTTATTATATGAAGCTAATTTCCAGCATATGATAACCCATCACCAGTCAGGTCATAAATGTCTAAGACCAAAGTCGGTGGTTCTAACCACCCACGAAGAAGAGACTGCCTCGCTGACGTGGCCCAGGGGTTGAGCATCGACCCCTGCACCAAGAGGTCACAGGTTCGATTCCCGGTCAGGGCACGTGCCTGGGTTGTGGGCTCGATCCCAGTAGGGGGCGTGCAGGAGGCAACTGATCAATGATTCTCTCTCATTGTTGATGTTTCTATCTTCCTCTCTGAATCAATAAAAATATATTTTAAAATAATAATAAAAGAGGAGAGTACCCGGGCAAAGTGACAAGGGCAACAAGAAAAGAATCCTAAGGAGGCGGCTGCAAGATCAGCTCCACAGGAGTGAACGAATGTGTTGTCCAAAGTTCCGGGAGGTGTCGGCCACCGTGACATGATGGACACCAGGCTGCAGGGTTCAGATGGACCCACCAAGGTTCTTGTCATGAGTTCATTGAAAATGGAGGGAGAAGAGGAGGCAGAGTGGGAAGCAGTCCAGGCTCTGGAGTGCCGGCTGCCCTTGATTGAAGGAAGGGAGGTGTGTGTGTCGGGAGAGAGGATGGCTCGTCCCATCCTGGCTTCTGGGTGGACCGGGGCGTGCGTCCCGATAGGGATCTGGGTCTGAGCGGGTCCCCTCCACACAAAGGACTGCTCCCTTATCTAGCGGCGTCCACACGACCACTCCGTCTGCCCTGCCAGATGGAGCACTGTTTTCGCATGATGCACTTGGCAGCGACAGGACATCTATTTTAAGCTGCCTGTTCATTTTTCATGATGCGCGTTGCAAAAGCACCGGGCTAGCCCACTGTGTTTATACGTGAACTTGAAACACTTTCAAATACAAGGTAGCCATGCGGCTCCTGGGAGTTGGGTTCCCGTGTGGGAGGCTGGGACTCGCCCTCTGTAGATCCATCTGAACAGTGTATAAAACAGGCAGAATTCAGGTTGAAGTAGAACAGACATGGCGGGGTCCTACCCCGTGGGATGGAAAGACCACCCAACAGAAGGGTTGGAAGGTATGAATGGGGAAGGATGGACTGCTCTGTGGTTTAAGCTGCGACTCCTGGGATTGCTTTTCGAGTGTTTTAAATTTGATAATATATATACATCTATAGGCACACACACACACACACACACACACACACACACACACACATTCAGAAAGCAAATGCATTTGCCAAGATTTTCCCCTCCGCATTCTTCAACCCAGATGGCTTTTCAATGTCTGTAACCCCTGCCTCTCTGATGTGTTCACAGGGGACCCTCTGAGGACTGGCTCCTGAAAGATTGCCCTCCAAGGAAATGTCTGTGCAACCTCTGCTCTCACAGTGGCCACATTTTGCTCAAGCGCAAGGCCTAACTCAGGGGTCCTCAAACTTTTTAAACAGGGGGCCAGTTCACTGTCCCTCAGACCGTTGGAGGGCCGGACTATAGTTTTTTTTAAAAAAAAAAAACTATGAACAAATTCCTGTGCACACTGCACATATCTTATTTTGAAGTAAAAAAACAAAACGGGAACAAATACAATATTTGTATTTGCATGTGGCCTGCGGGCCGTAGTTTGAGGACCCCTGGCCTAACCCTTTGCCCAGCTTTTTCTAGGAGTACAGCAGGTTCTTTTATTATTATTTTTTTAAATGTCTTTATATTGATTTCAGAGAGGAAGGGAAAGGGAGAGAAAGATAGATACATCAATGATGAGAGTTATTGATCAGCTGCCTTCACTTCCTTCTCTCCTGCCCCACCCGGGATCGAGCCCGAAACCTGGGCATGTGCCCTGACCGGGAATCAAACCTTGACCTCCTGGTTCACAGGTCGATGCTCAACCACTGAGCCACGTCGGCCAGGCATCTTACTTGTTTTTATCCATCTTTCTTTAATGCATGCATAGCTCACAATCTTTAATATCAGAAGCGTTTTGGGGTCTTTATTTCGATGTTTGGTGATGATTTTGTGACCAGATGTAAGCCATAGGCATTTAACTCTTGTTTCTATCAATTAGCCTATGGTAACACTGATTTCTTTATACCTCATTTCACTTAAAGTCGAAGTTCCCAAGAACCCACTGACAATGTTAAGTAAGAACTGACTTGTAAGTTGGAGTAAACAAAAAAAGGGTAGACGTTGA